TACAAATTCTATAAAAAAATCCCAAACTTTAAGAAAGAAAAAATCGGAGGGGCTCCAATGGAAGGTAGGGGAAGAGAAAAGGATGTATTAAAATCCATAAAAACTAAATATGAAAGAGTTAGCTGTGAGTCAAAAGGAAAAAAACGATATTAAAATAAGGAGAACGAAAAAAGGCAGCAATCCAGATTATGTTGTTGCTAGATGAAGAACCACCGCTTCCGTTAATGGATGATGCATAGCCACTCAAAGATAGAACAAAAGCCGACATGAAATATCCGAACATGGGAGTTGTCATTCGACGCTGCCTTTCCCCGGCGTTCAGCAACGCCATGGGGGTGTGGGGCCGGCGGGGAGAGGGAGGGGGCGCACCTGCAGGGCGGGGTGGTGGGGGGAACTGCCCCCTGGGGGTGATCCCGGGGCCAGGGGGCGCCTGAGCAGGGGACGCGGGCCGATTCTCCGCCGCTCTCCACCCTCCCTGGGCTGGGGCTGGGCTTTTTCCCCTCCCGGCAGGATGGCTGAAATCTCCAGGCCCGGAGGAGGCTGAGGCTGGGGCTGGTTGAGGGGGTGGGGGTGGAGGTTGGGGGTGGCAAGCTGGATGGGGGGTGGCGACGGGCGAGCTCCCTTGGCGGGCGGCACCCTTCTACACTCGGAGGACAAAGCGTCGGAGCGCTCCGGGTCGGCGACCTGGGCGCAGCGCGCGTAGGGGGCATCCTTGGGGCGGGGAAGGCGCGGCGTGCCGGAGCGGACAGGGCCGGGAAAAGAGGCCGAATAGTGCGCACTGGAGAGCCTGAGCCCGGCGCGCTCCGGGTCTGAAACTACCTGTGGCTGCAGCTACCTGCCCGCCCCACCTCGGGAGGAACAAGAACAACAATGCTTCTCCAGCGCGTGCGCGCGCGTGTGTGTGTGGTACGTGAGTGTGTGCGCGGCGTGTGCCGCGTGTGTGCCGCAGCCGCTCCACACCCCGATCCGTAGTATTTTGCTGTATCCAGGTTGCGCTCGGGAGCTCGGCACCGCCCGCATTGCGCCGGGATCGGCGTTCGTCTTACCCCATGCGCTGCGCACTCCACCCGGCCGCACCCTCAGCACCTGGGCCAGGACCTGGGCGCCGCGGCCCGGAGCCGGCTCGGCCTCACTCACGCCTGCCCTCTCTTCCCCGCTCTCCGCAGAGAATGTGATGGACATCGGTCTGACCAACGAGAAGCCCAACCCGGAACTCTCGTACTCCGGCTCCTTCCAGCCGGCCCCCGGCAACAAGACCGTGACCTACTTGGGAAAGTTCGCGTTTGACTCCCCTTCCAACTGGTGCCAAGACAACATCATCAGCCTCATGAGCGCCGGCATCTTGGGGGTGCCCCCGGCCTCGGGGGCGCTCAGCACGCAGACGTCCACCGCCAGCATGGTGCAGCCGCCGCAGGGCGACGTGGAGGCCATGTACCCGGCGCTGCCCCCCTATTCCAACTGTGGCGATCTCTACTCGGAGCCCGTGCCTTTCCACGACCCCCAGGGCAACCCCGGGCTCGCCTATTCCCCCCAGGATTACCAATCGGCCAAGCCGGCCCTGGACAGCAACCTCTTTCCCATGATCCCCGACTACAACCTGTACCACCACCCCAACGACATGGGCTCCATCCCGGAGCACAAGCCCTTCCAGGGCATGGACCCCATCCGCGTCAACCCGCCCCCTATCACCCCGCTGGAGACCATCAAGGCGTTCAAGGACAAGCAGATCCACCCGGGCTTCGGCAGCCTGCCCCAGCCGCCGCTCACGCTCAAGCCCATCCGGCCCCGCAAGTACCCCAACCGGCCTAGCAAGACCCCGCTGCACGAGCGGCCGCACGCCTGCCCGGCCGAGGGCTGCGACCGCCGCTTCAGCCGCTCGGACGAGCTGACTCGGCACCTACGCATCCACACCGGCCACAAGCCCTTCCAGTGCCGGATCTGCATGCGGAGCTTCAGCCGCAGCGACCACCTCACCACTCACATCCGCACCCACACGGGCGAGAAGCCCTTCGCCTGCGAGTTCTGCGGGCGCAAGTTTGCGCGCAGCGACGAGCGCAAGCGCCATGCCAAGATCCACCTCAAGCAGAAGGAGAAGAAGGCGGAGAAAGGGGGCGCGCCCTCCGCGTCCTCGGCGCCCCCGGTGTCCCTGGCCCCTGTGGTCACCACCTGCGCCTGAGGCTCGGGCGCCCAGATCCCCGCTTTAACCCCTCCAGTGCCTCCCGGCTGCTCGCTTGAAATCAGCGGGAGAGCCGGCCTCGGAGGCTCAGGGGCCGAGTCCTGGCCGCTCCGTGGACGTGCGGCCCCTTGCTCCCCTTCGACGCCCCCTCCCCGGACACCCCGGTTCCCATCGTTTCACGCCGACCAGCGGTCGGGGGCCGGGGCCCGAGGCGGCTTCCCTTGGCTGTCCACACCCCACCACCACCACCACCACCTTAGCCAAGGCGTGGGGGCGGAAAGGTGGCGTCTAGCCCGCTTTGTTCAGTTCGGATCGCCTTGATCCAGGGGCCGCGGGGCCGTGCCAAGGACCTGAAAGGGGGACTGAAGACGGGGGCCCACCCAACAACCCTCGCCCGACCCGAGCACCTCACTGCTTGCCCCGCGTCTCCCTCCTCGCGAGGGGGAGGGGGTAAGGAGAGCACCGAAGGGCGGCTGCGTGCGGGGATGCGCGCGAGTGTGTGCCTGCTCGCGTGTGAGTGTGTGTGCCCGTGAGGGGGGTGGGTGTGCGCGCGCGCGCGTGTGCGTGAGATTCTGGAGCTGAACTGGGCTGTGTGTACCTTTAACTCTAGCAGCATGTCCGAGCCCCCAGGCCGCTGGGGCCTGCCCCAGCCTGGGGACCACTGAACCTGCCTTTGGAACGTGTCTCTGGCGTCAGCCCCACTTTTCCAAGGCTCTGTGCCTGCGTGTGCTCTCTGCTCCTGCCACCCCCTTTCTCTCCCTTCTCCCCCTCTAAGCTGTCAACCCACCCCTTTCAAAATCCTGCCTCCCCCCACCCCAAAGTCAGGCCTCAGCCCGTTGCCCCATCTTGATTTGCGTCACTGACGTGCCCATTTCTCCTTCCCACCACACACGGGGAGGCTCCCTGGTACTTCCCAGGTCAGCGCCGACACGACAGGTAGAATTTAAGTCTGTGTCTATGGTGTGTGTGTGTGCGTGCGCGTGCGTGTGTGCATGGTGTGTATGTATATGTGTGTGTGTGGTGCCACACAATATACACACAGTTTGTATTCCTCTAAGGTACTTGGGCATCCATTGCGGTGCATGGGAGTCTAGAGAATTTGTAGGCGGATACAGCTTTAAATGCTTTATTTTTTATGAGAATTGGAACTGATGAGCTGATATCTACACGTGCGTGCGTGTGGGAATATATAGACACACCTCGCAGTCCCAGCGTCCCTCAACAAGCACAGGGATTTTTTCCCCCATTCACCCCTTGTGGGTGAATGAGGTGTATCTTTTCCAGACCCCTGTCTGGGCTCCTCCCTGCCCTGCCCCCTTACCTCGGCTCAGGCACCCTCTCTCCCCCGCTGTCCCGCCCAGCCCTTGCCCGCCCAGCGTGGCTGCTTTGATGGGGCCTCCAGCCCACTGAATGTATTGCTTCCTTTTAGCGTGATTTCTCCTGAGGTCACTCCGCCCCGCCCAGAGAGAAGGAACAAAGGTTTGGAGTTTACAGAATGTTTTTAAAGTCACTTTATGCATCTCCCACTTTTTTTTTTTTAAAGGAAAAAAAATCACTTTTTTTTTTTTTTTTTTTTTTGGTGGTGGATAAATAATACTACAAGGATGCTAGTGAAAGGAGGGGGCAGATCAGAGAGCAGGGGTTGTGAGTTTCCCGGTACTTGGACTTTTTGTAGAAGGAGAGAGAAGACGAAGTTTGCCAGGAGGGCCCATATTTTTTTCAGCTGAAGGGTGAAATCTTTCATTGCAGAGACAGTATTTTGCTGACTACTTTTTATAATGTGATGATTATTACAAAACAAAAATTTTGGTCACTTCAAAGCTGGAAGGAGGAATCAGATTTCCTTTAATATTTTTTCCTGCTCCTTCTGGCCTATGCATGTCACTGCATGATAACTCCGAGTTTTCCTTTGTTTTAATAAAACTGTTCTCAGACATTTAAGCTAAACTAAGAGAAAAAAATAACTTTGTTGCCAAAAGGTCGTGCTATCCAGATTTTTTATATGTCTGCATGTTTTAAAAAAACAAAAACAGCAACAAGAGAAAATGCACTCTAACTTATGTGAACTGAGAGAAAAAAAATTGGGTTTCAAACAGGAAAACCTACGGGGAATGATATTTTTTGAAAGACTTTTGTATAAAGTTGAGTACTTAGAAAAAGACAAACCAGATGTAATATATTTTGTGGATGTTTTTATTTCTTGGATTTATAGTACCTTATACTAAGGTTAAAAAATATGCTTGATATTGTGAAAAGGTGAAATTCTTCACCAACATTTCATTAGCTCCTTTGTCACATTGTTATGCCAATATAATAGTTGATGAAAACAGCATTTTTAAAAATGAAATATTGAAATGGTGTAATGTGGTATCATTTGCGCTGTGAGCAAATGCTAAAACAGTAAATATATTCTGTTTGCTGACAATCAGCCGGCCTAGAAATCTTCTTTGATTCCTTGTTTGATTCCATGGCATAAAGTCTTGGTTTTGGTTTTGGTTTGGCCTGCTTTTTGCCTGGTTTTGTTCGGGCCGGTGGTTGGTTGGTTTGGCTCTCGTGCCGGGTTTGGTCACTCTGGCTACTGGAATTGTGTGTGGGTCCGGCCTCTCACATCCAGGGGTGAGTGTTTCTTGGACTCCAAGGAGAGTAATAATGATTCCTTTCTGCCCTCCTGGGAGCCTCAAACTGCCCGAAGGATTAGGGGAACAGGTTGGGTGAACTCGTGGGAGTCAGGGCCAGTGACTGGAGCCTTGTGAAACTTGGATTCCCGTGGGTGTTTGGGGAGTAGATGGGAGGGGTGGGACCCCCCTGGTTTGTGAACTGTCTCTCTGGTGGTCTTGAGGAGCAGGGTCCTGGGGCGAGGGGGGAGGCAGGCCTGCACAGCCATGCTAAGTAGTTGTCTTGCTAAAGCTTTTGAAGCCTGAAAAACAGGTGGAGACTTGATAAGGGTTCTTTAGGGTTGGCAAGATAACCAGAGAGATTGGCAGCCTCTTTTGTGGTCAGGTAATTGGGGGGGGGGGGGTGCAGAGAGTCAGGTTTTAAAGTTCTGTGGCTCAAATCTCCCTTGGACAGGAGTCCCCTGGCCTCACTCTCTCACCGCCTGTCAGAGGGGACCTGGTTGGAAGATCATTCTTGGGAAGGTCTCTGAGGTTCTAAAGTCTGAAGGGGAGGAAAGACACATGGGGGATTCGGGGGAACCCACAGAGGGTGGCTGTTGAACATCTGCCCTGCACGTCTCGTGGTTTCTGTCTTGCACTCTTTGCCCTACCCCAGAACATTCCTCACCCTGTGCTGAGTTTGTTGGCCAGCCCTAGGGTTCTCTCCATGTCTCTTAAGGAACTAGGTGCCCGCCGTGTCTTGCGTCTACAACTCCATCCTGCTCCGCTCACCTCATTCTCTGTGGTCTTTAGAATTCTTTCTCCTTCTGAGGCAGGTCAGTCCCTCTCCCTCCCCCTCATCACCAGGACACCTCCGCCAGGCAGTTCACCCCCGAGCTGCCTCTCCAAAGGTTAGCACTGAGCTGAGTCGACCTGGTACCAAGTCACTGGCTCTCAGTCCCTGGGGTGCCGGCCAGGGTAGCCACAAAGTCACAACGTCTTGGGTTCTGCTCAGAAACTGCTCATGCTGCCCCAAACGCCCGTCCACCACAAGCGAAAACCATGGGTGGTGTTTCTGTAGGACTGTCCTTTCAGGCCAGATGGGTGGAAGAGCTGGGCTGTGGCCAGAGAGAAGAAAGTTTTTGAAGGGAGAGAGAGAAATAACGAGAACGCAGTATGGAATCTTCCGTTTTCGTGCCCACACAATTCTGGGGCACCGGCTGCCATCTTGAATTCCCTCTGCTCACCTCGTGAAACCACAAATCCCAATTGGCAGCTGCAGGAAAGACCCTACTCCCTTAACAACGAGAATCAAAGATGGCCAAAGGGTCCCAGCGACTGGGCACGTAATTCGTCTCTCTGCTAAACTGGATGTGGCCTTCCAGGTATCTGGGTTTTCAGGAGAATATTATCAGAGGGAGATACCATCTCTGGGTGTCTTCTTGTTTGTATGCAGGCAGCCCCACCTGCACCTTCTCCAATCAAACCAGGTCTCTGGAGCTAGGCTTTCGTCAACAGTGTACTATGTTGCATGATTAACAAACTCACTTCCCATTGGTGGACGTTACTCAACCCAACCTGGTGCAACCACTGGCTTACTTGGTAAGATGGCAGCCCGCCTGGCTGGCACCAGCCCTGTGTGGTGCAATCACTGATTCACATTTTGGAGCTAGATAACATTGTCCCAGATAGCATCACACCAGCTACCCAACCTGCCCGGGTTTTTGTAAGTATGGAGAGAGAGGCGACTCAACCCTGAAACTAAGGGGCAAAAGGGAGACATGGTGGAGGAAGGAGCCAGATGGGGCAACCGTGAGAAAGTGGCAGCTTTGCAAAGAAGAGGTCCCAATTAAATCAGGCATAAAAAATAAAATAAAAACAGAGACAGCCAAGCCATGCCCTAGGTACATGGGGGTGAGCGAAAGGATGCCCCCAACATACGCACTCACTCCTCAGCGTGCTCCCACACCTTGGACGTAGTGTTCTGGGATGACTTTGCAAAACTGGACTTGCCGAACCGAGGTTGGGTGGAGATGAGGTTGAGGGGCGAGGAGCAGCAGGGTTTCCATGATGGGAGCGGGAGTGTGTATTCAGGAGTACGTACAAAGGAATCGCCAGGTGGACTTGGGGGAGTGAGGCAGTGGCTTGTGGCTGGGTGTTACAGTGAGGGGAGTCGTGGGCTGCCTGTCATGTCCCAGGCAGGCTCCCCAGGGGTGTGCTGGTAGAAGAAGCCGAGACCTGGAGGACTCTGCATGTCCCAAAGGCTAGCAATCACGCTGGCAAAATCACAGGGTGCCGTGGGGTTTTAAAAACAGGCCCTGATCCTCCGTCTACGCCAAGGAGGGTCTTTTCAGGAAGCCACTTTTTGTATGGAGAGGAGTGAGGTCTTCAGAGACCCTTGGCCCGAGGGGTCCCTGGAACAGGTCGAGGGCAACACCGTCTTGCCCACCCCATGGGTCACCCACAGAGGCCAGGGGGACATCTGGCCCCTGCATCCCAGCTCTTACAACCCCAGCAGCGTGTTAGCTGGGTGGCTTCCGCCTAGTCCATCTGCAGCATTTTCAAGCATTGGACATTTTCACGGCCTCGCACGAGAAAAGGCGTGGGCCAGGGCGTGAGGCCTTCTGTGGCATGTCCAGGCCCAGGTGGGACAGGACCTGACCTAATTCTTCCTGCCCCGAGAGTCTCCCGTACCACGTGCCCCTTGGCCTGGCCGTCCCTGCCGCCACCACCTCTCGCGGTCACCAGGACGCCCCAGCACAGGAGCACTGTTTCTTCCCATCCGTCTGGCAGGCACACAGCCGACCAGAAGAGAGGCTGGTGAGCAGTCTTCCTAAAGGGCCGATACAAACACAGGAGGCCAACGATGTCAGCGTGGCTGCTTCTGGTTCTAGGCCATCACGGGGACTCTTGAACGTGGCCTCACTCACTCTCTGGCCTGGCCTCCTGGGGCATTCTCTCGGCGCGGCGCCGGGACGTGTGGCTTCCTTGGTTGATGGAGGCGAGCTCCCTGGATGAAGACGGACCTTTCGCTGGGCCTTAGCAGGGAGAGGCTTGGCTGTTTCTACAGCCTCCTCCTTCCCTCTGGCCGCGGGGGGCTCAGGGGTGGCCCCCAACTCTGCGGCTGCCCCTGTTTTGTAGGAAGCTGGTCTTTGAGGCTGCTTCTCCCCAGCACCCCTGCCCAGGGCCAGCAGCCATCTCTGCCTTGAACCTTTCGTCAGGAAATCTGTTCTCCAGCGGATTTCAGTTCCCTTGGGGTCATCCACTGGGTTCCTGGCGATCGTGTCACGGCTATGCCGCCAGCTCTCCAGTCCGTGGAGGAAGACAGGTACCGGCCAGCCCTGAGGCTAGGGACAAGGCCTGGCCAGGGGAGCACCATGGTCTGTGTGGGGCTGTGTGCTGCGAGACGGCTCGCCCCAGGGGTCACCTGCCAACCCACCCAGAATCCACCAAAACGGGAGAGGGTCGTGGACCAGGATGGGACTGAGTTTCCGGCTCCTTTGGCACCTGCTCAGCGACAGGCTGCAAGAGTTCCGGCACCTTCTGTTCCTTAGCACGTGGCCCTTCCAGGCTGCCCGGATGTCTGTATCCGAGTCCCTCGGCTCCCTTCTCGTCACCGCTTAGGAAGGTCAGGTTGTCCCAGCAGGAGGGCAGAACACTCCAGGTGCCCACCCCAGGCTGCTCAGTGGGCCTCCTGTTACTGACTCGGGCTCAGCCTGCAAACGAGGAGGCAGTTGGATAACCCAGCTCTTGCCCAGCGGCCCTGAACCTGCTTCGGAACCATCTCCTCCCTCCGAGATCTGAATCTCGGCTCTGCCCCCGTCTCGCAGTGTGAGCGTCTGAGCCTGGGTTTCCGCCCATCGAAGTCGTGGCTGCCGTGCGGTTCACCTGAGGCCACGCAACTGGTACCTGGCTCACTGCAGGTGCTCTGTCCGATACTTACCTTCCTGGCATGGCCCCTGGCCCCTTTGCCCATTCTAACACACCTGCGAGAAAGAGGGCCCTGGTCCTCCCCAAGGACCAGAGCGTCCATTCTGACCCAGCAGGTGCACCTCCCAGTCCCTGCTAGTGCTGTCCACTAGGGTTCTGCCTGCTGAGCATGGGGTTCCCCCGCAACCCCCCAGCCTTCCAGTTCACCCAAAGGGAGCAAGAATTCTCCCTCTTGTGGGCCACAGCTGAGGTTCATTGTTGCCTAGTTTCTGGCCTCTCTCTCTCTCTCTCTCTCTTTCTGAGATGGGTGGTTACAACAGACTCCTGACCCTGTATCAACTGCAGGGTTAGTGTCTGTGTCACTGGGCTGTGGCCTGCTTCCTGATCCTTATCATGGATTTAAATAAAACGCAGCAGCCCCAGTCCTGCCCCAGCCACTGCTCTGCCTTCATCCGACGCTTAGTCATCCTTCACCCCAAGTCCCAGCTCCCGGCCGTGGGGCTGGGTGGGGAGGAGCGAGACTTCCACGGCAGTGATGGTGTGTGAGACAGCCGCGGTGCTCGGGGCCCTCCCCTCCCCCTCCCCCTTCCCCCCAGATACGGGGAATCGCCTGGTCCAGATCAGGAGACAGAGGTCTGTGACTCGTCCGAGCCTGCACAGATCCAGACTGTGGGGGGGGGGGGGTCCATGGAAAGTCGGCGCTTGCCTCATTTATTTAGTAAATACATGTTGAGGGTTTGGCACACGCAACACATTCTTCCAGGCGCTGGGGGTCCTGCATTCTCAACACTCACCTTCCCCAGGGCACAAACACATCAGCGAGCAAGCAGATGTGTGCTGTGTCCAACTGTGATACGTGTGGTGCAGGAACACTCAGCGAAGAAAGAAGGGGAGCTGGTTCAGT